AAAAAAAACACTGCCCCCCCCCCCCCCCCCCACACACACACACACTTTCTATTATTTCTTTTCTATTAGATATACTTTGTATCTATTCATTATGGTCAGCATCTGGTGCCAGCTCTGCTCCTACCAGGACTGATATCCAGGTTCTAGCTTCTCTATAAAGCTGTGAGTTTGACTAGTTCCACAACCACCAGCATGCTGAGAATTGTAGTCCTCTTACTACAGGCTGACTTAGCAAGCTTCCTTGACCAGCTCTTTTCATACAAAGTACCGTGTGCAAGTTCTACCTTCTCTATGAACCTTTGCTCTAGGATACTGCTTCATCCAATAACTTGTTGGCACTTGTAGTGCTCTTACAAATACAGGCTGAGCTAGCAAGATTTCTTGGCCAGATCTGCTTCTGCATGGACTGATGTACAGGCTCCACCTCCTCTATGAAGCTGTGTAAAATAGAGTTCAATTTCCATCAGGATGCTGGAAATTGTAGTCCACTCACTACAAGCTGACCTTGATTAGCACTGCTCCTGCAGGGTCTGATGCACAAGTTTTACCTTCTCTAAGAGGTTCTGAGATATGGTGGTGGCACAATCATTATTATGCTGGCCTTTGCAGTACTACATCCAGATCCAGCAAGCCTTCTTGGCTGGCTCTGCTCCTAGTAAGACTGATGTGCAAGTTCTATCTCCTTTATGAAGCTGTGTAAGACAAACTGGTTCCATAATTATCAGAATACTGGTGCTTCTAGTCCTCTTACTACAGGCTGACTTTGGCCAGCTCTGCTTTTAGAGGAACTGATGTGCACATTCTACCTTTTCTAAGAGGTTCTTAGATATGGTGGAGCTAATACTTTTATTGAGCTGACCCTTGCAGTACTACATCCTGATCTAGCAAGCATTCTTGCCCAGCTCTGCTCCTGCTAGGACTTATGAGCAGGTTCTATCTCCTTTATAAAGCTGACTGGTTGCATATTCATCAGAATACTGGTGCTTGTAGTCCTCTTACTACAGGCTGACTTTGGCCAGTTCTGCATTTAGAGGAACCAATGTGCAGGTTCTACCTTTTCTAAGACGTTGAGAGCTATAGTGGTGGCTTGTAGTCACTATATCCAGACCTAGGAAGCTTTCTTGGCCACTGCCTTACCTTGCAAGGAGAAGCCACTGCCTTGGTGAGTGAATCCAGCCTGGCACTGTACTCGGTGAACTTTTTCTGGTACCTGAGCGCTGTCATCTGCAGTTCACTCTGCACAGTGGACAGCTGGGACATCAACGACTTCTCCCTCTTGCTGGACCTCAATGCCCTCTTCTTGAGCTCGGTCTCCAGCCCAGTAATCTTGGTCTGCAGAAGCATGTTGTGACCCTTCACTGCCTTCAGACAGCAGTGGTCGCCCAGCTTCTGCTCCCTGTGGGTCAGCATGAGCCCACATCCCTTCTGGCAGATGCCCACCGCCCGGTGCTCGCAGAACTCCCTCATATGGGCATCCATGTCCTTCAGGTTGAGCACCTCGGTGCAGCCCTTGTTCCTGCACTTGGCCGGCGTGTAGTCGCACATCTCGGCGTGTTCCCCCAGGTTCTGCAGCCTGACCACCTTGTCGCAGCCCCTGGAGTGGTTGTCACACTTGATCTCCAGCTTGAGGATGAGACTCTTCAGGGGCAGCACGTGGTTGAGCTCCTTGGCAGAGATCCGTTGGCATTTCACCGGGCAGCTGCCTTGCTGCACCACCCAGGGCAGCACACAGCCTGCGCAGAAGACGTGCCCGCACGGGGTGGTCAGGGGGTCCTCCAGGACTCGGTTGCACAGGTTGCACTTAAAATCGGGGTCCACCTCCCCGCTGAAACGTTCCAATTCGAAGCCCATGGTGCTGCTCGCTGCTCCTTGCTGGGCATTGGGA